GGGCGGGGGACGGACGGCCCCGTCGGGGCTGCTGCGCAGTGCGGGCAGGGGGCTCCGCCGCCCGTAAACGCGGCGTGTCCCGGTGGTGGCTTCGCGCTCCAAGCGGTGTTGGGTCTCTCCGTGGCAGCGACCATACTTGGTGCCTACCGAAATGCAGTGGATGTGCCTGTATCTCCTTTAGCATTTGTTTTTCTTTCTCATTTAGGATCTGTGGCTGCCTATTTTACATCTGCAAAGTTCCTACTTTATCTTGGGCATGCACTGTCCACTTGGGTAAGTAAAATATTGCCCTGGTAGAAGTAGGACTTTATGATCTAGCTGTGATTTACCTGAACTTTATTGGTAGTTTCCATAATCTTCACAAAATAGGCACCACTACAAAGACCGAGGTCTCATTAGAACACCTGGCCCTGAAAAATCTTAATAATCTTCACATGGTATGTTGCGTAGGTTCTGTTTTCATTAGTGAGGTACTCGCCGTGCTGTGTAATGTAGTACTTAATTTCCTGATGGCCTAGTTCTATACCTTTTGATGCTTTTAAGTAGCTACAGAAGCAGTAAGACTTCTTAAGAGTAGGTTCTGAGTGAAGTAGATGAAGGGTAGTCCATAGCAGAATGAGTCCATTGCAACATGTACTTGAAGGCCCTGCGTACGAGCTGCGCTTTGAGTATTCAGTGTTTGCAGTGGACCCCTTATTGCTGCTCATTACCTGACTAACCTGTTGAGAGTGGCAGGAGAGAAGTTTCTTCTTAAGTCAAAATGTTTGCCTTCTGAAATGCTTTCTTTCTGTACTGAAGTAACTTAGTACATCAGTTTTTACTCTCTTGAATGGTACTAAAAGCTTAATATGCCCTAAAAATAGAAAACCTCTTTCTATCCCATAAAATAAATACATGTATCTTATAATACAGTCTTAAGTCTCCATCTAATGGCTTGATTCAAAAAGAAATGGAAAGTTTCTTCCCTAATACTCCACTTGGGTTTAGACTGATTGGATGTGTGCTCTGTATAGCATTGAACAAATAAATGGCTGATACACAGTCACGGCACTGTATGCCTGACTCTGGCATCTCGTTTTCACTAACCCAAAAGGTTGTATTGATGTCTCTCAATGGAAGAAAGCTTGGAGCGGTACCAAACACTTATTTAGACAAGTGCAATATTTTAGCAGTTATTAATATTATTGAAGGAGCTGGATGGTGATGTTTATGTTTGCTTCACTGCTTTTCAGAGGCCAGTGTTGTTACCTGCAACGTTTGTTAGTAATGCTCACAAAGTGCAATTTGGCTAACCCTGCTTACTCCTCCCTGACCAGTGCTTCAAAGCTAGGAAGTGGGATTGCTCTTAGAGTACATTAATAAAGGTGACAAAGCAAGAGTTTGAGAACAATATTACACACCATAACAAACATTAGACTGCAAGTTCAGCTGTTTAGCAATATTAATAATATACTCCTTGTTGCAGTGTGCTTTGTTTCATGCTGAAAATCTTGATCTGGAAAACCCCAAGCAAACCTGCTGAAGCAAGAGAAATACAGGTTATTTTGACAGAACTGGATGTAGGACTGCACCTTTTGTATCTTCTAAGCTTTAGTGTTCCTGTAGTCTGACACTTTTTTTTTTTTTCTAACAGGAACAGTAAACAAGCACTTAAATCTTCAGAACTCAAAGGAATAGATAATCTTTATTCTAAAATGGCTGTGTCCACAATACAAAACCCTATAGAAATGAGGTTTTTATGTAATTGAGAGAGCTAATTTTTTGTTACTAAGCCATTCCCAAATAGAGAGGGAAATTCTAAATGATAAAACATGTCACATCTCCACAAATGTTCAGATTTGAACAAAGTCTCAACTGTGTCTTATGCTCTTGTTCAGTAAAGCATTTGAATGTATGCCTGGCCTCAGTGAATGAGGAATGGTCCTTTGGCTCAGTCTGCATTAATAGGCTGGACTGTACTGCTTAACGTGACTCTCAGACCTTATGCAGTTGCCTTTGTTTTTAATTCATTGCTGTCTATCACTTTACAGTAAAGAAAGAACAGAATAGATTCTCCTTGTTGGTGTCTAATGCTTGCCCGGATATCAGCAACTTCCCAACCTTACCTGTGCCACTCAGACCTTAAGAGGCCTGTTTGTTGGTAGTAGCCTGGTTACTGCTTAACTTGTTGGCTTCAGTTATGAGATGAGATGGTATGTATTCTGTCCAAGATACATTACAAGGATAATTACAATGACAGAAGAACAAGAACCACCTCTAAAAGAGTGGTGACGCTAAACAGATGTAGTTAGGTATTTACGAGGTGAAATACCCACATCTTGAGACATTTTAAAGTTGGATTAAATATATATAATCAAAACTTTGGTTGTTTCTCAAGGCAATATTTAGTGTTTAATTTTCAGTAGATACTTGCATGTTTTTAAAAATGCCTTTTTCATATTGTCAGAATTCAGTACCTGAAACATCTCTGCATGAAAAAAACACACTGATTTTCTGTTATGAAGTTTTTATATGAAGCACTCTTCGGCTTATTTTTCTAGCTAAATAAACATCTACCTGATCTGATTAAAACTTAATTAACCACCTGAGTGTATTTTAAGTGAAAATCAGTAAAAGAGGTACCTCAGGCTGTATTAAAATTAAGGGACTCTTAAACTTGGGAAATAATATCCCTATGTTTTCATTAATGGAATACTTTCTATGTACTTCTAGTAACCATGGAATAAAAGTGGAACATATTTTACAGAAGATGTTAGGTGTCTCTGGAGAGTGAAAATTACTTTATTATGTATGAAAGGGCACATCTAAGTTGATAATGCTTATATGTGTATTTTTTTTTTCATTTGTTTTAGTTAGGAAACATACAAATACCCAGAGTTTTTCCATGAGAAGGTTAAATTTTTCTTCCCACATAATTGGGGTGTGATTTCATTCTGCCTATTGTTAAGGAAACAAATATGAATGTTTATTTATTACAGTATGCATATGTATGCATACCTCCTTCAGGAGCCTCAATGGTAGTAAAAGGTGTATTCTTGTTGTGCTTTTGTGCTACACTGAAGACTTTAATCAAACTTTGCAGTAATTTTGACCCTCCAAATAGGTGCTTTTTATGTATCTCTTAATTGTAATGTTATATGGTATGTTAGATTTAGCAGACTTGGCTTTTTAAAAGTGCTTTTATGTTTCACCTCCTCCAGCCCTTTAGAATATTTGGGGTCCTTAGAAATTTGTACTATTTCCTGTTTCACATAGGAAATACTTGTTTAAGATAAGGTGACAGAAAACAGTTTCATGTTTGGCCACTCTCCATCATCTTTGGTAAGTCGTGAGCAACAGGAGAGGCATCTGAGGACTGGAGGACAGCCATTGTCACCCCAGTCTACAAAAAGGGCAAGAAGGAGGACCCAGGTAACTATAGACTGGTCAGCCTCACCTCCATCCCTGGAAAGGTGATGGAACACCTTGTTCTTGGCACTATCTCTAGGCATATCAAGGATGAGGGTGTCATTAAAAGCAGTCAACATGGTTTTACCAAGGGGAAGTCATGTTTGACCAAACTTACAGCCTTCTATGAGGAAGTAGCTAGGTGGATAGATGATGGTAGGGCGGTAGATGTGGTTTATCTTCATTTCAGTAAAGCATTTGATACTGTCTCCCACAGCATCCTTGCAGATAAGCTGAGGAATCGTGATCTTGATGATCAGGTAGTGAGGTGGATCGTGAACTGATTGAAAGGAAGAAGTCAGAGAACTGGGGTCAATGGGACAGAGGCTAGTTGGAGGTCTGTGACTAATGGAGTCCCTCAGGGGTCAGTACTGGCACCAGTGCTGTTCAATAATTTAAGCAACGACCTGGATGAGGGAACAGAGTGTAACCTCAGCAAGTTTGCTGATGACAGTAAACTGGGAGGAGTCGCTGACATACCAGAAGGCTGTGATGCCATTCAGCGAGACCTAGACAGGCTGGAGAGTTGGGCGGGGAGAAACTTGATGAAATTGAACAAGGGGAAGTGTAGAGTCTTGCATCTGGGGAAGAACAACCCCATGGACCAGTACAGGTTGGGGGCTGAGCTGCTGGAGAGCAGGGTAGGAGAAAGGGACCTGGGGGTCCTGGTGGACAGGAGGATGACCATGAGCCAGCAATGTGCCCTTGTGGCCAAGAAGGCCAATGGCATCCTGGGGTGCATTAGAAAGGGTGTGGTTAGTAGGTCAAGGGGGGTTCTCCTCCCCCTCTATTCTGCCTTTGTGAAGCCACATCTGGAATATTGTATCCAGTTCTGGGCCCCTCAGTGCAAGAAGGACAGGGAACTGCTTGAGAGAGACCAGCACAGAGCCACAAAGATGATTAAGGGAGTGGAACATCTCTCTTGTGAGGAAAGGCTGAGGGAGCTGGGTCTCCTTAGCTTGGAGAAGAGGAGACTGAGGGGTGACCTCATCAAAGTTTACAAATATGTTGAGTGTCAGGATGATGGAACCAGGCTCTTCTCAGTGATGTCCAGTGATAGGACAAGGGGCAATGGGTGCAAACTGGAACATAGGAGGTTCCTCATGTAAACATGAGGAAAAACTTCTTTCCTGTGAGAGTGACAGAGCCCTGGGACAGGCTGCCAAGAGAGGTTGTGGCATCTCCTTCTCTGGAGATATTCAAAACACACCTGGACACATTCCTGTGTGATGTGCTCTGGGTGATCCTGCTCTAGCAGGGGGATTGGACTAGGTGATCTTTGGAGGTCCCTTCCAAACCCTAAGATTCTGTGATTCTGTGATTTGGTTTATAAAAGGCTAACATTCAGGACCATTGTTAAACTGTTTACCGTAGATTTCTAGTCATTGGCTTTGTTACTGATTGCATAAAGCATTGTCTGTGGTGCATTTCTTGCAATAAGTTAAAGTGAGATGTGACTCCCATCATGTGACAACATAAAAACCTCAGTGCATTCATTAGCAAACCACAGGTCTGTTTGGTAGCAAACCTAAAAATGTTTCGAATAGTATAAAGATTACTTCACTTGGACATGGTTTACATTTTGTGCTTTTTTTTCTAGCCTGTAGGAAGTGATATGAGAATATAAAAGTTTGTTCTCTAAGCACTAGTTTAAGCTAGTGGTAGGCTAAATGGATTGAACTACCAATGAGTTTGCAGTAGGTTAAGTGAGTTCTGAGATTCTACCTCTTCATGATGTGGCAGTGCTTAACATTATTGAAAGTGCTCAAGTCCATTGACTTCAGAAGCTTCAGTGAACATTTAGGATAACACCTTCCTTGATTTACCCATGTCCTGGATTGCATTGTGCCTTGCTTTGGCTTGACTGGCTTTTGTGTTACAAAGCAGCATTTAAGCTTTGATCATCTAAGAGCAAATTGCTGTCTTGAAAAATTATTTAAATAGTATTAGTGATGAATAAATCTGTTGCTAATATTTTATATGTGCTAGAGAATCTATGTAAACTTTCTGAGACTTGTTGAATTTGGCTAGTAACAGACTTTTCCTGTAGTATTTTTCTACTTTTCTATTTTCTGCTTTTCCTAGTATCAAGGGGTTTTTGACATGGTATTACAAACTGTAATTTTACATTTGATTATGACAGGTGATCTTGGTGATGCAGGCATAAAATCAATGATGATGGGATGTAGTAATAAAAAAACCCATAACAATCCCCAAAATTAAAAGCTAAACCCAAAAAACCAAATCGTCCTTCCCACACACCCCACCCCTGCATGTATGACAAACCTTTTTTTTAACACAGACTTATCTGGGCATTAGTAAAATAGTCAGCTTTTGTGCTTGCAAAGTGCAAATAGTAATGTTGTGTATGTACTCTGTTACTCTTAAAGGGAGATCGTATGTGGCATTTTGCTGTGTCTGTATTCCTGGTTGAACTTTATGGAAACAGCTTGCTCCTGACTGCAGTGTATGGACTGGTTGTGGCGGGATCAGTTCTTCTCCTGGGAGCCATTATTGGAGACTGGGTGGACAAGAACTCCAGGCTCAAAGGTTAGATGTCTAGAGCAGATTATTTACTTAAGGATGGATCGAATTAATGTAAAAAGATAAAACTGTTAGACTTAACAACTCAAGTCAAATATGGGAATGGGGCTTGCTGAGTTGTTTTTGTTTTGAGAAGGGTAGTGTGTCAGTGGTAACGATGATACAAAGGTAGTGTCAGTGACAGGAAAACAGTTTTACTTGCATTACATCTGTTGTGGGCTAAATCTGTAGGATATGTAGAGATGTGTGGAAATGAAAGAGGTAAAAGCACTTAACTTTAAGGACTACAGACAATAATCTTTACAGATTAATACAGACATACACTTCTGTTATTTGTTGTTTTCTGTCATTTTCTGCTTAAGTGTAAACATGCACTGCATTTGTTATAGATATTTTAAATATGCATCTTCTAGTTTGTTTTATAATTAGCATGACATCAAGTTCTTCATACACATTTTTACTTTCCAAGAGTTTATGGTATAGCAGGACTTCCATGGTACACCATGGATGAATTTTAGAGACTCAAGCTAAGTCTTGTTTTTACTCCCTTAGAAATAGTATCAGCATTTAATCAGGTGTAGTTTGGTTTTTCATTGGAAAAAGACTCGCTTGGGCTGTAGATCAAGAATTTTTATTATGAAGAGCTACAAAGTTACACCAGACAGTATTTTGTTTCTCTAAAAAAAAAAAAATAATCAAAGAGTCAAAATCTAATAGGAAGTATGGGTTTACCACTTAATTATTTATTTTTTTGGGGGGGAGGAAATAGGAAAATAAAAATATTTAAAGAATCTGTGCATGTTCCTTAATTATAACCTTCTTAAGCTTATAGTTGACTTATTCTAATGTTCATAACTGTTGCTCTTTGTTTTGATTTGAAACAGTGGCCCAGACATCCTTGGTAGTACAGAATGCATCCGTCATCCTGTGTGGTATTATCCTGATGATTATCTTCTTGTTTAAAACACAGCTTTTGACCTTATACCATGGATGGCTTCTTGTGAGTGCTTGAACTTGTTATTAAGGAATTAACTCGCAAAGAAACTTTGGGGAGCTTGGGAGACATAAATTTTTCTTTTTCTCTCTAGTTTGTTTTAGACGTTCTTGGGAGCTAAGACTGGCATATGAAACTGAGCTAGTTGGGTAAACAAAAGTGACTGTTTTCTGTCAGGAATTATAAAGTAGACTTGGTCTTGTTTTGTCAAAGAATAACACTAAAATGTAGGGATGCATATGTCAAGGTGGCTTTTCTGGTTGTGCAGGGTAGGAGGGGAGATCTCCCTTTAACAATTTTCTCACGCTGTAACTCTTTCCCCCATTTCTCTAGACGATGTGCTATATCCTGGTTATCACAATAGCAAATATTGCCAATTTGGCCAGCACTGCCACAGCGATCACAATTCAGAGGGACTGGATTGTTGTGGTTGCAGGGGAAGACAGAAGCAAACTGGCAGGTGAAATATGTTGCCTTTTTAATATCTTAAATGTCTTACTTTCCAAGCTTGATTTTTTTTTAGATTAGAGTTTTGCAGAGGTCAGCACATACTTGAGTTCCAGATACAAGAAAAAAGCAGGTAAAAAGAGCAGCCTTTATTTTCTTCTTCCCTGCTCTGGACTGCACTTAGTGACATTAGAAATTACTGCTGTGATTGCAATTCATTTAGGCATCCCTACACTTCTTTTATCCTCCTTTTAGTCCTACTGCAGCTTTGTCAGGAAGACTTTATTCTTGCTGAACAAATAACCAACCACCACAGTCTTAAATCAAATAACCAGTGCTTAATAGAAAAGCTATTTTAACTTCCAGACACTTAAAAGCCAAGTGTTGCAATACTTATTTTTAGGTCCCTGGAATGAAACAGAAAACTGTTGCGTAACTGGGCTCCTCACATAGCGATCAAAGAAAGAGGTACATGAGAATGAAGTCCAGAATGGGCTAGTAGATGGGTCAGGAAACTGTCAGTAGGAAATGCTTTGCGTGCAGATACATTTGAAGTCCTGCACTTCTCTCACATTAGATGTCTTAACTCTGAGCTGTGAATGCTTTTCTTCAGTTGGAACTGAAAGCTCTGTACTCTTAATATCTGATACCTTTGCTATTAGACAACAGGCTTAATCTTTTTTTTGCCTTGTAAATATTTTTCCTGTTTTTTCCTCTTTGTTGCACAGTGGTATTGGCATCATTAGGACAGAGAATGAGTTCCAGTTGAAATTCTGCTGCAGCTTGGTGGTCACGACTCTAGTGGGATGTGAAAGATTGTTTGGGAAGTTCCCCAAGCACACATTGAACCTGACTCTCCTTTGCTGAGGGGGCTCTTGTAGCCACAAGGCCATTCGCACCAAGGGGATGTATGAGTGATGTTTGACACTGCTGCTCTGATTATAATAAAAAGTATGGGAAGCAGCATTTTTTGCCATGAATTTGGGCAGGCTGTATGGGCTCTGAGTCAATTCTATAAGTGGACTTAAGCCTTCCCAGATAGAGGAACTGATACTGAATTGCAAAGAAGGCACTGAGTAGCTTAATGTTCCCAAGGCATATATAGCTCAGTAAAGTAACACTGGAATGAATGTTTGAAGTCTTAACATTTATGGAGTTTAGATACCTCCAGGTCTAGACAGCATTTGAGCTTTTGGACTCTTAATTCTGTATGAAGCTGCCTAAATTCCCCATGAAGTTCAGTTTACATGCCAGAGCCCTGTTAGACATGAATCCTATATTGCATATTTATTAGAAATGTTTATTGGTAATGAAGGAATCACATTTCTCTATCTCATCCACGAAAGGCTAGCTCTTAATCAGAGTATTAAGTGTCTTCCTTTCATTTCCCAGTCTACAGATTTTCCACCATAGTCTTTTATTTTGACCTTGTGTGTGTTTCTAGGTCATGCCTTTTGTAGGGCAGGTTAACTTTCTTTATGCCTGTGAATCACAAGTAGCAGACTCGTACGTCCATAAAAGCCTCAAGTTCTAATGGCACTCATTAACCTTTGTTGTGTTGGATCTTATTCAGCAAATAATCTCCCCAATCCCTGTACTACTTACTACATGTCAGATAAGGTAAAGACCACACCTGCAGAGAGCTGCTGCACAGGAAGCAGTCCTATACTGCTTCATGATCTTGGGCAAAATTACATGACCACTTATAGTCTGCACCAAAATAATCAGGCAAGATGTAACTCTAAAATCTGATGCAACTTATTTTAAAAAAACAAACCACTTAACTAAGCACATTAGTTGAATAAATCTGTCCTAAAGATCTCTTTCTGGGTTTTCATGTGTTTAATCATAATGAACTTGGAGACTGCTGAAATTCCTTAACTTAAAAAATGAAACACCAGCACTGACTTTACAGCATATACTGTTGTCCATCTCTGTAGGCCTTAGTTAATTAAGTTAGTGAAATAGGCAAATAAAAAATTCCCTTGGCTTCCCCTTCTTTGTTGCCCTTGATTGATTTTTCCATTCACTCTTACTTTACCTTCCCTGAGTGTAAATATTAGCCCTACCCAAATAACTCAAAACAAAGCTTAGTTCTTGGAATTTCTAAAGCCAAATATTATAAAAGTATCTAACTTACTCATCTTTGTTAACCATCAGTCAAATAGTTAACACTGACTTCTTAGAATTCTAATAGAGTAACCTAAATGTTAAGGAGCAGTTATCTACAGATTGAAAAAAGCAGTTCCATGCTGATACAGTTTCACTTGCTTTTCAAAACTCGAACTTCATAACAGAACGCTACGGTGAGATTTTGATGCTTGCTTCTAAGCAGCCCGAAGTCCTGATGCACAAAACCCTTACATGACTAGCAACTTAAGGGTGGAGCAATGGTAGCTTTCATGTGAATCCTACAGGAGCCCAGGGGGTGTAAGGACACTATAGTGGGTAAGACTGGGGAGGGCAAGACCAGCAAAGGGAAGATGCGTTTATGCTAAGAATAGGCTGATCATTAACATCAAAGTGTGGAACAGAAAAGAATTGAGGACTTTGCTCAGTGAGTTCTAAGAGTGCCTACCACTGCCCTTAATCAATGTGACTCGATAAGGAGATTTAAAGCCAATTTCAAAGGTCTGCTGCTATCACAGTGGGCATTGTGGTCACCCATTGTTAGAAGTAAATGGAGGAGATTAAGAAATATGTGGTCTGGTAGTGGGAGATAATAGTTGCTAAAATTATATGAAAGAATTTCATCATACGAGATTCCTATTAATGTCTAGAGCTGTGCATGTTGGTTTTTAATGTTACAGAAAGAGAATTTGGAGTCTGTAATGTCACTTGGATCTGAAGGTGCCTCTGGTAGGCAGTCTGGCTGCTGCTCCTACTAGAATCACAATTGGGGCAGAACTTCAGCTTGATGTGCAATCCTCTGTTATGTTAATGAACATTTCACTGTAAGTGTTTGGCAGCTACTTCATATAATGAAATAATTTCTGACAGATATGAATGCTACAATAAGAAGAATTGACCAGTTGACCAATATCTTGGCCCCAATGGCAGTTGGTCAGATAATGACATTTGGGTCTCCAATGATTGGCTGTGGATTCATTTCTGGCTGGAACCTGATGTCAATGTGTGTGGAATATCTGCTGCTCTGGAAGGTTTATCAGAAGACTCCTACTCTGGCTCTTAAATCTGCAAAAGTTGAAGAATCAGAACTGAAACAGCTGAATGTAAAGAAAGGTATTGAAACCGAATTTAACTGTTCACATTTGCAGTATATTCCCTGTATCAGAAGACTTTTGTCTTCTGGAGATACTACTTTGATGCTATATGGCTTTCTACTCATAGCTTGGCAGTTTCAGATTTGGATGTAGATAACTAAGTAGCAGTACTTTGTGCAGCTATTTGAAGAATCCCATAAAATGCAACCAAAGAGTGAATTCTCTCAATTAATCCTTTAGAGTAAGTTTGCTCTGTTATTTAGGGCTAAATGTGAGGAATGTTCCTCTCCATCTGTGCAATAACTAGCCAGATGACAAGGCCTTTTACTCTGTAGTATCTACAAGCAAAACAGCCTATGTAGTACTTTTTCTTGCTAACTTATCTCTGCTTACACATAATACTAAGAGGCCTTCAGGAGTTGTAGAATAGGTGGTAGTATTTCTAGTCTGGCATGTTTCACTGAGTTCCATGTGCTGCAGGAAATGATGGAGGAAAAAAAAAGTCTATTTTAACCTGCTCTGCTTCCTTGACCAAGCTGAACAACTGGATTTGCAGTGCAGATGGCTATGACTATAAGCAACCTTAAAATTAAAACTAATGTTGCTTTAGATAGTCTTAATATCAGAAATGGTTTCAGAAACAGATTTTTGTTGCAAAGCATTTGAAATATCAGATACTAGACTACAAGACGTAAGCATTTTTTTAATTTTTAAGGTAGTGGTATGTGAATACTACTGAAAGCTTATTTAAAAGCTAACTAGCAATCTGGTTTTTGCTCTGTGTATAGTAAGAGAGGAGACTGCTATTAAAAGTGTTGAAGAGATGCATATTCTTCCCAACCAGAAGATCCCTTGTGGTAATGGCTGGTCTAGTAAGCTACTGGACTAGGCTGGTAGCAGCCTGGGATAGGGAAGTAAGATAGAGTGTAGAATACTCTGTGACTTTGGAACTGGCTCTTGAATGCTTCTGAAGAATGAAACATTTAGCAGATGTTAACATGTAGGAAACATGTCTTCATCTTTGCTACTGTATTCTGATTTCAATAAAAGACTTGTGTTTTTGAAAGTTTCAGGAATACTTCATTTGTCTCACTGTTTGTGGAGGTTTTTTTCATACTTGACTGTATGTAGAAACACTGTTTGGGCATTCAAACTCTCGTGTAGTTTCTATTCACATTACTAATCTAAGTACTGCTGTGGTTTTGTTTTATTTTTGTTTGTGATCAATGGAAGTGCTTTTCTCCTACATTAGACTGAAAATGGAACTGCAGGAAAGCATCGTCCAAGAGGTTTTTTTAAGTGAAGTTTTCAAACTTTTGGCTTTGGTAGGCTTCAGCAAGTATCTCTGCACTGGTTCTTCTACCATGTAATGCGATATTGACAGATGCTTTAAGTAATCCCTACTTCCTGTGGTTAGTTCATGTAAACAAATCTATGTTAAAATGCCACCTAATGGCATTTATTAAGTGAATAATTTACTCATGGAAATGGAGCATTCATTCAGAAGCCTGTTGAAAAGAAGGTTACGTTTTCTTATACCACAGCTTAATTAAATAAGCAGGAGATTATAGGGATAGAATTTACTTGTTCTTATTATACAGATGGGATTTAAGGATACTTTAAAACACATAGGTAACTGGAGGAAGATTGATTGCAGAACTAATCTGATGCACTTGTGCAGCAGTGAACTTAGATTACTAATAGTAGACAATTGTCTTGCGCTTTACACTCTGCACTTTCCAGTCAGGAGTGTATCTAACAGTTACATTTCTGTTTACAGAGAGTGATGGGAAACCATCTGAAGGAGTGCAGTTAATTGTTGAGAAAGATGTAACTGGCTTTGAGCCCCGGCAAGAGAAGGAAGTCGGCTGTGCTGCCCGGATTGCTGAACCTTTCATCACATTCCGTGATGGATGGGTTGCATACTACAACCAGCCAGTGTTTCTTGCAGGCATGGGTCTTGCATTTCTGTATATGACTGTTCTGGGCTTTGATTGTATTACTACAGGCTATGCATACACTCAGGGTTTGAGTGGCTCTGTGCTAAGCCTCCTGATGGGTGCCTCGGCAGTCACTGGAATCATGGGAACAGTAGCTTTCACTTGGCTTCGTCGCAAATGCGGCCTGGTTCGTACGGGCCTAATTTCTGGAGTTGCTCAATTTGCTTGTCTGGTCTTATGTGTCATCTCCGTATTCATGCCTGGAAGTCCTATGGATTTGACTGTTTCCCCATTTGCTGACATCAGTGCCAGGCTGTTTGAAACGGAACCATTACCTACTATAGCATCTCCAGAAGGTAACCCTGAAATGATTTTTGCAACTGGAATGCCCAACTTGCTAAACGGGTCTACTACTCCTGCTAACAGTGACCCAGAGATGAGTCCTGAGCCTGTGCCTTTACTCTCTGTTAGTCTCCTGTTTGCAGGAGTCATTGCTGCTAGAGTTGGTAAGTATTATGTGTCTATTAATTTGATCTGTTGACTGCTTTTAATTCTAAAAATTACAGTGCTTATCAACTAAATACAAATTTGAGTTTAGAATTGTAGGCTAGTTAGAGTGTTACATCCCATATCTAAGACGAATTCATTGCTCTTGACATAAAAATGCAGTGATCTTGCAATAGTATCACCGGTGCAGAGACCATAGTACTAATTTCTTGAGTATTGTATTACCACATTTGGACATGAATGTAACTTAGTTTTTGGAGTGCTCATCTCTAGATGATCTTCCTTCACAGCCAAGTAAAATCATTTGTTAATAAAAAACAGAGCTAAACACATCTGCTATGAAAGCCTGCAAATTTCGAAGTTTACTAGGTCAATCAATTCATTAAATAAATTGCCTAACCTTTAAGTTTCTGACCATCAAAGGAATTTAGAACAGAAACTTGAATTTGAATGACAGCTTAATCTTTGAGGAATTGCTGGTTAGCCTACTACTAGTATCTGTCAACAGAAGAAGCAGTAAAATAGATAAATGTAATGAGCAATAATTCTCATATGAAGAATTTCTGTACTCTTAAATTTCTACAGCTTTTGCTGAATTTTGGAGGCATAGAATGATTCACATGTATTAAGTGTGTTTGCAAGATAAACTTTCAAAATTGAGACATTAATGGACTAAAACAGTATAGAAGCTAGTGTCAGTGGTGACTGTCATAAATTGTTATGGATTCTATATTGTTTAAAATGTTTCATTTTTTGGATAACATCTTGTACAAAACTTAGCAATTGTAGTTATCGTGAATACACTGTAAATAGCTTTGAAATGGCTGTTTAAATACGGAGCAGATGACCAGAACACTGTTAACTTAATAGATATGTTGAAGTTGAGTTGTGCCACGCTGTATGTATTATTTCAGGAAATATTAGTCAAGGGAAAGTAAAGAACTCTTTAACTCTCAGTGTGAAATCCATTTGAGTCTGACAAGAGGCTAGCTTGTCCTGTGCATTTTTGGTGGAAGTGAGTTTTTTGAAAGTATTAATTGAGTTATGCCAGTAATGAAAGCTTGCCATGAGAAGCCCAGTTATATGGATAACTGTTTTTTCTTTCCATAGGCCTTTGGTCCTTTGATTTGACTGTCACACAGTTGCTCCAAGAAAATGTAGTAGAATCTGAAAGAGGCATCATTAACGGTGTCCAGAACTCCATGAATTACCTTCTTGATTTGCTGCACTTCATCATGGTCATCTTGGCCCCAAACCCTGAAGCTTTTGGCTTATTGGTGCTTATTTCTGTGTCTTTTGTTGGAATGGGCCACATAATGTACTTCAGATTTGCTCAGAAAAGTTTGGGTAAACAACTTTTTGTTTGTTGCACTCCAGATCCCAAAGCAGTCTCTGACAGTTCACCACCTGGTAACACATCTACTGTTTGAAAGGATCAACTTTCCTTACTAACTTACTACTCAAATACAATGGTTAAACACATACTGCCTTTTGTGATCTTACCTAAGGTGTTTCTCTAGAGTTGAATGCAGAACTTAAATGTTTGAGGAAGTTGTCCCAAGAGAGCTAAAATTAATCTTACAGTGACCCTGTATAAATATTACATGTTTGGCAGAGGACATCCTGGCTGTCCAATTGGATCTTGGTAGTTGGTGTTTTGAAGAATCCACTTGAGTCATACATCTAGTAACTGAAAGCAAAAATAATATTGAATTTCTGTTGCTGACCCCCTCAGGGATACTGTGTAGTGGTTCTACATGCTCAAATTTGTTAAGGAATTCTGACCAATTCCTGGGCTTGAGAAAAACAAGGGGGTTTAGTTACTTCAGAATAACTTGATAAACAGTATTTGGTGTTGTGGTTTTTTTCTTCGGTATTTTCCTTGTCATCAACAGTTCTGCTCCCCTATCTTCTCAAATTATGTATAAACAGCCTTTGTGGATTCCTGAAGTGGAGTCTTAAGTTCTGATGTTTTCCCAAAATACCTTTTTAATATTCTGTTTTAATTTAACTTTACAGAAACACCTTTTTTTTTTTTTTTTGCATGTTTCCTTACAAATTAGAGAATGCTAGGTACAAGATATTATTGTATTACAGTTTTGTTGCACTTGATAAAGTAAATATAGCCTCATTTTAATAGAAGCTATGGATGTAACATTCTAAAGCATGGCTTTTTGAATTGCAAATGATAGGTCTGCTCAGGTTTGATGTAGCAGAAAGTGCTAAGGTCAGGAGTACTGGTACAGTTAGGTGAAGTATAGGGCTAATGCAGTTTTTTTTTTACCTTGGAGTACAAGCAGCTTTAGTTTATTTGAATGCCACTTTTTCAAAAACCATATTAAAGCCTGATGTATTGGAAAATTAACAGTATTCCAGGCAGGAGAAGTCAAAGTGGATTACTTGCATTGATGTTTTTTATGTATGTTTGTTTTGACTTAGTTAGTTCTAAAATGCCACCAAAAAGGAGATGTTGTACTAAGTGGCCCTCTAAAGAAACTTCAAAGCAATGAAGAGTTGTTTACCCCTCTGATTTTCAAGAAGCTATTGCATTTTTTTTTTACCCTGCATGTGTACTAACACAGTACTTCATAGTCATTAACTATATGTGCACTTTTGCAGAAACTATGCACTTTCCTTTCTCAGTAGAGTTGAACCTGGTAGTGTTCTGAGTTTTCCTGTGGCACGAAACGTAGAAGTTCTATACATAAATCTTCTTAAAATGTTTCTTTGCCAAATGAGTGGTATGCAAAAGCACACATCAGCAACTTGTGAAAAGTATCTTTACATTTTAAAATGAGTTGACTGACCTTAACAGTCATCTGTGTTGCCAGACTTCAACCCTGGAATGTCAGTGTGTGAACTCCATTGACATCAAAGGCGTTACACCAGGGCTGAATCTAGGCCGTTCATCTTAAAATTTGTGAATGATTACAGTATGAATAAAGCTAAATAGAATGTAAAAAAATTTATAGTGGCTTTTGCCTCAGCTACAAAGTATTGTAAGAGGAGTGAAAGTGAACGAATGGGAAGCCAGTGTACAACCAATGTACTTGTAGCCCTTAGTGTTCAATAGCTGATCGTAACAATTTTCCTCCTCTAATGGACCAAAACTGCTATGTTATACTGAAAGTTTCTCAGGGACATTTTCACTAGGTTTATAGGTGTTTATACTTTGACCAAGCTTTTGGGTTTTGTTTTGATATGATAAAATAAAATGTGAATTAGAGTAGTTTTAAAATTTGTGACTTGATCCTGAGTGTACCTTCTTAAGGAAAAGGGAGTTTTGCCATCAGCATAATTTAAAAGTCAGAAGACAAAACAAGTTTATCTAGATTTGTGGAATAATTATGCCCAGCCTATACAGCGCGTGGTAAGTAAATAAAATACTTGATTTGTCCAATGTTTTCTCATGTGTGTCTAATCTAAACTGGGACCAGATTTTAGTATTGCTGAATATAAATAAAGGTAGCCCAAATTTCAGTGAATGTGTCTATACTTGGATGAACATCTGATTTCCACTGTATGTATTGGACTCACTGGCCATGATGGAAAGAGAGCTTAAAATGCAGCTTCTTGTGGGGTGTCTATTGCCTATAGAACCCAGTGTGCCTAAAGCTTGGTGCTGTAGCCCTAAGCACCAGACATCCCACGGAGGATGTAATCCTGAAGTGTAGAGAGCTCAAAAAAGCAAACAGAGCAGGAAGCATACTATGTGCCCATCTGTTCCCTAAGTCTTTTTTTCTTTCCCCAAGAGCAATGTAGTCTTACTCAAGTAGCAGTTTCATAAATTGTTCCACTTGATAGTGCAGTCTAGATCTCAAGCTAAAAAAGTAGTGCTGTTAGGAGACTGGACCTTTGTATTTTGTACACATGTTGCTACAATTCATATCTGCAGAGAAACAGCTAGAAGGCAAGACAATCCTAAAAGAGAAGAAAGGTGGATAGTAGCTTTAAGAGAAGTAAAGAGGTGTGAATTGGAAATCTTATATTTATTGGTCTGAGTCAATGTCAAAAAATGTGCTGCTTGAGCACAGCCCATTACTGTTCAAGTCTAAGATGTACACAGACACCTGTACTGATTAGCGCTTCGAAGCAATGTGGAGCCTGAAGTCTTACTTAGCAGGACGTTCTTTAAGTAAGCATTTTTGGCCTTGTATTTATTTATTTTTTTAAATGAGTCCAATTTGGATGAAAACTGCCCTTAAAATGTACGCACTAGAAAATCAATCTTATCAGAATAGCATATTTTGTTATATAACCTTATGCTGGACATAGTATTGATTTATGTATTACTATTGTTAAAGCTGATGAATAAATTTGCATAAAAACTTGTTTGTCCTGTATTACTCAGTTTGTGGACATCTCTCTATGCTGCTACACTTGTAGGTGAAGATTTGCCGTAGTGATGGGATCGAAACAGCCATGAAGCACAAACAAATCGAGAATTGAGGGGAAAGGATATGACAAGTGTAGTAAAAGCCTTTCAATGATGCTATAGCTCTGTCTTTAGTGAACTGATTTTTATTTACCATCCCTGGTGGTAATTTTAGACACAGTAGCTGAAGGTGAAGGAGTGGGCTTACAACTTCAGCCCAGGACCAGTGTTAGTGACAGAGCAGTTTTGTGTGTTGGCTCAGTGAGCAGCAGAAAGCAAATTATTTAACCTTCTCACTCATCTTTTTACTGTATTGAATTTGGGATCATAGCCTTCTGTAGCAGCTACCTGTTGGTGAGAACACGTAAGAGTGGTCACAAATAAATGCAATACTTTTCAAGACTAACACTAGAATATTACAAGTGCTTTAGTTGAGAATTTTGTACAGGACTGTTTCTTGTTACATGTATTTAGGATATGCTTTCATTATGAACAGATCTTTGGAAGGATGCTGTGCTAATTAATTAGGATTTCCCTGAACTGATTGTTCTTTGAACTAGAATTTTTCTTAGAAAAATACCTTTATGGGTTGTCCCCAGTAATGTTATTACCATGTTATACCCCCATGGGAATTATTAGTAATAATTAGTTATTTCTAAGTGGGAGTTAGAATGTGGTGAGTTAAAAAGACAGGGTTTGTTTTGTGTATCAAACTTTGTAGCATTAGGGCAAATGATGTGCCTCTTTAATAAGAGCTGCCAAAATGTCCATGTTCAAGTCAGATTACCACTTTTCATCTTTAGGAATATTTTCCTCCTTCACAGCCACTTACGAAGTAAGAAAAAGGTTAGAATACTGAATTGAAAATGTAATTACACTGATGTAGGTACAAAGAAAAAACTGTTGTTACTTAATGGATAAAGAACACTCTCTTGACTGAAGAAGGCCCTTCACAATTTATGGTCTCACTGTTTTCCTATACTCAGGTGTTCAGGTTTTGAGAAGTTCCGAGTTTTCTAACACCCTGTGGAGTTTGGTGCTCAGCACCCCATGGTAGAGTAAGTGAAGATACCTACCACTGTTCACTTGTTTGTTGCACTACTTTGCTCACTAGATAGTTGAGGTACTAATCCTGCCTGTGAAAGGCAAGATATATTTAATATTATTGTGCACTGAAACATTTAATTGCTTTTGTTTTCAAAAGGGTTTTCTTAAACTGAGCACTATAGTGATCGAAAACTGAAGCTTTTTGTAGGAAAAAGGATAGAATTAACTTAGTCCTCTCCATTTAAGCTATTTTCTGTTTCTTTAATTAGGAAACTGTCTCTTAGAAATTCCAGAAGAGTAATTAGGTTCCTATCTATTAGTTTTAAATTAGATAGTAGGCTGTCTTTGTTTATACAATATGTCCCATATTAGCAAATCTGGCCTGCTTCCTTCATAAATTGGCTGAGTGTTCTCTCAGTGACTTCTGTCAAAAATGACATTTTCATGTCAGTTTTACACCCCTTTCCCTCTGGAGAGAGGCTTGTCTTCTTTGCTTCTTTACTGTAACTGTTACAGAGCACTGGAATAGTTTCCCCAGAGAGATTGTGGAGTCTCCTTCTCTGGAGACTTTCAAGATCTGTCTGGGTGCCTTTCTCAGTGATCTGCCCTAGTTGTGTGTGGTTTTTTGGTCCTGCTCCAGCAGGGGGGTTGGACTCGGATCTTTGGAGGTCCCTTCCAACCCCTAATATTTGGTGATTCTGTAATTGTTTCACAGCCTCCTACACAAATAGTTTTGCAAAGTATGTATTTAAACTCTTAATCTGGAAATAATCACAATTTGCAGGTAGAGCTCCATAAAGAAATGAAACATTGCATAATAGAAATTAACAGGAAATTCCAGACTAATTTCAAATAATTTCAACTGCTTTTTAGTATAAAATCTAGCAGATATGATATTGTGCTGAACTCTGTATTCATATCTTCCTCAACTAAAAAGAGGCTCAAGATAGTTGGTCAACATGCAAGGACCACTTCTTGCAAGCACAGGATCAGAGTGTCCCAATGGTTAGGAAACCTAGTAAGGGTGCTAGGAGACCTGCATGATTAAAA